ACAACCGGGGTGAGGCACCCCCGCACTAGCTACTTCCCCCCAGCAGACTAGGGAGATGCGAAGCTAGCGCGTCCCCCTCCCCCCGCCCAGCAGACCAGGGAGAGGTGGAGCGGCTTTTCTCAGCAGACACCTCAGTTTGAGATTAAAGGACTGAGGGAAGTGAGGTGTGGGAGAATAAAACTGAGCTCTGGAGAAATGTTTGGCTAGAGTTTCCCCTACAATATGTACCAGTTCCGACTTACATACAAATTCAACTTAAGAACAAACCTACAGTCCCTATCTTGTACGTAACCCGGGGACTGCCTGTACCTCCTCAGTATCCAAGCACCCTTCAATCTCCAGTGTGTTCTTTCTCCTCAGCCATGCTGTGGGGCAGGACGTTACCCATTGTACAGGTGGGAATGGAGGCCCCCTGACTGGAGGGGGGGAGGGCAACTGCCCTGGGCCTTGGTGATTTCAAGAGACCTGGGGGTTTTGGCCCTTTGCATTTGTGTCGGAGCGCTGGTGGCGGTGCTGAGAGCTGTCTGCCATGGCCCCACCCTGTCCACCCGAGGCCCTGCCCCTTATTGGAGTGCAGAGCTGCCCCCCCCATACCTTGCCCAGGGGTCCAGCAAGGCTGTTGGCTCCCCTGATAGAGTGACTTGCCCAAGCTAGCACCCTAGCCACAGGAACATCCTTCACCTCGTGATCTCCAACCCTCGCCCCAGCCCCTGTAAGTCTGGGACCCATACAACAGCAGCTTGGGAAATGGGGCGTCTGATCTCCCCCAGTATCTGCTTCAGCGCTGAGCCAGTCTCAGACCTACCCATTGGGTAGTTCCCATCCTGGGTCCAGGGGGCGCGGAAGCCGGTGCCCTTTGTCTAGAGTGCGAGGTAGCTCTGTGCCCGCTAGTGGAGCAGTAGGGGATGTCACAGGGAATACAGGGGAATCTGACCCCCACCCCCAATGCGCTGGGATACCCTACTGAAGAAGACAAGACAGCTGCCTAGGGCCAGGACTCTGTACCCAGAATGCTTTGCCCAGGTGCATTAACCCTTCCTGTTTCTCTAGGTCAGCGTTTCTCAACGTGGTCTGTGAAACCACTCTGAGGAGCCTGCTAACTGGCCTCTCCCGTGTGTGTGTTTACCAGCTACGGAGCCTCACGGCTCCCATGGGCTCCAGTTCCCATTTGCAGCTTCCCACAGCTCCCCTTGGTTGCAAGCGGCATGAGGCTGCGTAGCCGGTTAATGAACACGCCAAAGTGGCCAGTGAGCTGGTTTCTCAGAGCGGTTTTGTGGGCTCTAGGCCTTCATGTTGCCCCTTCCACACAAACACAGCCCCTGCGTCTACAGGCAAGATGCGAAGACTGTGCCTCAGCTGCCCCCGGGGCAGGGAACGGCTCCCAGATTCTGAGGCTAAGCCAAACTTCAGCCTGTGCAAGAATGTGTAGGGCAGCAGTGTCCCAACCAGGAGCTGGTTTCTCAGAGCGGTTTTGTGGGCTCTAGGCCTTCATGTTGCCCCTTCCACACAAACACAGCCCCTGCGTCTACAGGCAAGATGCGAAGACTGTGCCTCAGCTGCCCCCGGGGCAGGGAACGGCTCCCAGATTCTGAGGCTAAGCCAAACTTCAGCCTGTGCAAGAATGTGTAGGGCAGCAGTGTCCCAACCAGGAGTATGGGGGAGCGGGGTCAGAGAGCAGCCAGAGGGTGACGGGGG